TTAGAATCATAGAATCATAGAATGGTTAGGGCTGGAAGGGACCTTCAAAGGTCATCTAGTCCAACCCCCCTGCAAGGAACAGGGATATCTCCAACTAGATCAGGTTGCTCAGGGCCTCGTCCAACCTGGCCTTGAACGTCTCCAGGGATGGAGCATCCACCACCTCTCTGGGCAACCTGTTCCAGTGTTCTACCACTCTCATAGTAAAAAATTTTTTCCTAATATCCAACCTGAACCTACCTCCCTCTATTTTAAAACCATTACCCCTTGTCCTATCATAACTGGCCCTCCTGAACAGCCTCTCCCCATCTTTCCTGTAGGCCCCCTTGAGGTACTGGAAGACCGCTATAAGGTCACCCCGGAGCCTCCTCTTCTCCAGGCTGAACAGCCCCAACTCTTTCAGCCTGTCCTCATAGGAAAGGTGCTCCAGCCCTCTTATCATCTTCGTGGCCCTCCTCTGGACCCTCTCCAACTGGTCCATGTCCTTCTTATGTTGGGGACTCCAGAACTGGACGCAAACTACAGATGCTAAAGATCTGATGTTGTACTAGAAAACTTGTCTTAGAAGCAAAGCAGATGACTGTTACCAAACTGTCGAAGGGGCATAGATGAGTTTCAGGGAAGCCAGAGCAGTTCAACGTTCAGGAGCAAAACTGGGTAAATAAAGGAGGAAATAGTTAAGAGAGCGGGATGATACATATTTAACACAGGGGTAAAACCCAAATCTCTAACAGCTTGATGGTGGCTAAAAATATGAGCTGATAACCCTAGAAGGACAGAGAAGACTCGTAAAGAAATCTCGTCAAGACCTTTACATTGCAGCCTAGTATAGAAAAAGAGATGTTTGGAGCAGAAATGGAAAGTTAGAGAAGGAAAAATAAAGCTAATTTTAAAAAATTAATAGAAGGAAGTTAACAGGAACGAGATGAAAGGCGATTTCACGTTGCCAAGCATAAGTTACTAATGCCTAATGGACTGTGTGGCTTGGAGAGCGGCAGAAATGGGTTATTTTTACTTTGTTGATTTTGGGTGGAATTTCCTAAAGCAGCTTAGAAGTAAAATCTCCTTTGAAAGCCAGCAGGACTTTTATTCTCAACAAACCTACTTTGTTTTTGAAAAAATCTCACCGTAAGTACGTGTAATATACGCCACAAAGAAATACCGTCATATTCTGCCTTAAATAATAAGCACTGATTATTCAAAAATTTACAGGAGAGGTGGTTTTTTTTGTATGAAAATGATAGAATTCAGAATTTAGACAGATTAGATAAAATTATTTGTATTAAATCACACTATTTTATCGTTATCCCTTCCCATACAAGAAAAACGCTGAAATCGCCCAGCTGTTTCACAAACTCTCGTTTTTTGAGGAAGACCCAGATGATTCAAAATCATTTTTATGACACAGGCATCCTCATTTTGGATCTCTTCCAGCTGCCAATCATCCTAAAAGGTTAGTAGCATTGTTAGCTGGAAATTGTGCAGCCATTAACGGGATGACATGATGTGCATGTTGGGTGGGAACCTTCAGCTAAATGACAATTTTTGTGGCATTACGCATGAACATTTTACAGCAGAAACCCAGTTATTTTTATCTGTTCCTTTGGTGTTTTATGAATGGAGAAATGTTTTCATTTGCAGTAGCCATACTTAGGAGCTAGCATGTCAGTAGGTCCATACCTGGTTTGATGTTGTTGAACTCCTTTTCTATGGTCTCTTCAGTGGTTGAGAGCATGAGGTTCCTCACGTAGAGAATTTTGACTGATGACATGGTGTCTTCGTCCACCTCCACTTCTGGTTCTGCCCAGTCAACAGCGATAGGGTGTCCCCACAACTGGATCCTTCCTTTAAAGGGATTGGCATGGTCAGTGTCAGGTTTTGGGTCCTCTCACTTCTGCTCAGAGGCTATTTCACATGCAGTATGAACAGCAGAATAGGTCAGTTCTAAAAATGGGACTGAAATCATAGAATCATAGAATGGTTAGGGCTGGAAGGGACCTTCAAAGGTCATCTAGTCCAACCACCCTGCAAGGAACAGGGATATCTCCAACTAGATCAGGTTGCTCAGGGCCTCATCCAACCTGGCCTTGAACGTCTCCAGGGATGGAGCATCCACCACCTCTCTGGGCAACCTGTTCCAGTGTTCTACCACTCTCATGGTAAAAAATTTTTTCCTAATATCCAACCTGAATCTACCTCCCTCTATTTTAAAACCATTACCCCTTGTCCTATCACAACAGGCCCTCCTGAACAGCCTCTCCCCATCTTTCTTGTAGGCCCCCTTGAGGTACTGGAAGACCGCTATAAGGTCACCCCGGAGCCTCCTCTTCTCCAGGCTGAACAGCCCCAACTCTTTCAGTCTGCAAATAAGCCTTTCTAGCTCAAAGCACAGCTGTTTCATCAACACATTTCCAAAAGTAGATGGTCACACTTTCAGCATGCCCCCACTAATACCTTAGGTGCCTGCAGAAATGCAGCGTCCAGAGTTAAAGAAGAGAAAACACGGCATGATCCACGAACGTTCGTGTTCCCTGAGATGCTCTCTAAAGGGAACTCCTTTAATGAAGTTACAAAAATCCCTCTTGGCTGCAGAAGTTTCATTCCCTAGATAATAGGAAAGGGATCCAGAAGTCCCAGCTGGATGAAATGAAAGAGTAAAAGCAAGGATGTGTCTCTGTGTGGAGGTATTTGAAGTCATATGGCCTCTGCTGGGTGAAGTTGCAGCAGAAGTAGTAGAAAGGAGGAACATGAAAAGTAGCAAGGCAGAAAACCAGGTGCAGGTGTGGAGGAGAAGCCCATGAGCTCTGCACGCACCGGATCGAGCCACTGAGGGGCAGGGAATAAAAAGAGCAAATAAAGAGAGGTAGTTAAAAGCAATTTTGTCACCATGTTGTCACACCGAGGTCCGTAATCATTTGCATTGAGTCACCTAATCTGTTAAGTAATTGGTTAGTCAATTAATGATGTTTTAATATGTAATGAAAACTGACTGCCATGGCCTTGTCTCAAAGCTGTGGGAATTGCAGTGGTGAGCAGCAGAACACCGGGTAAGGCAGAGGGACCTCTACGTAGTGATGGTTTCTTCACCTCCTGTCTTCTCCAGACAGTCTCTTTCCTCCTGTTCTTCTTCCCTGTCCCTTTTGCACATCTTGCAGGGAGATCTTCCTCCCTTTTCTGTTCAGGAGTGGTTGAAACCTGGTCACTCGCTAATATCCAGAGCCCCAACTACCATGTGCTCTATTTGTGGACCACATTTTCTCCAGACATTTTAATCAGCCCAGCAGATAGCTCTTTGGATGTACAGTAGAGACCATCTTTTGTCTTAGCAGAATGGTAAGTGCTAGATATTCCTTCCAAACAACGAAATAAAATGTCTACTTCTTCTGCAAACATCCCCCAAAGACCACGTGGATCTTTCTGTGTTTGTTTTCTTTCTTTCTTTCTTTTCTTTCTTTCTTTCTTTCTTTCTTTCTTTCTTTCTTTCTTTCTTTCTTTCTTTCTTTCTTTCTTTCTTTCTTTCTTTCTTTCTTTCTTTCTCTCTTTCTTTCTTTCTTTCTTTCTTTCTTTCTTTCTTTCTTTCTTTCTTTCTTTCTTTCTTTCTTTCTTTCTTTCTTTCTTTCTTTCTTTCTTTCTTTCTTTCTTTCTTTCTTTCTTTCTTTCTTTCTTTCTTTCTTTCTTTCTTTCTTTCTTTCTTTCTTTCTTTCTTTCTTTCTTTCTTTCTTTCTTTCTTTCTTTCTTTCTTTCTTTCTTTCTTTCTTTCTTTCTTTCTTTCTTTCTTTCTTTCTTTCTTTCTTTCTTTCTTTCTTTCTTTCTTTCTTTCTTTCTCTTCCTTCCTTCCTTCCTTCCTTCCTTCCTTCCTTCCTTCCTTCCTTCCTTCCTTCCTTCCTTCCTTCCTTCCTTCCTTCCTTCCTTCCTTCCTTTCCTCCTTCCTTTCCTCCTTCCTTTCCTTCTTTCCTTTCTCTCTGATCTTCATGGCATGAAGATTGGGTCCTCTGAGGCCTTAATTAAGCTAAAACCTGGAAGAAACACAGGGATGCCTGTGCCAGTAGAAGGAAAACGAGAATCCTGCAAAATATTTTTGGACAGATCTAAGAAAAGGCATCCTATCTTGCATCTCTGCTCGGGTAACCCATCTACAATGGGATAGGAGCTCCAAAACAGAGACAATTAGAGGGTGAGGGCAGAATTGAGAGACCTATTTTTCTGTATTGGAATTGAAAACTAACAAACGAAACGGGAAGAGGCTGCATCCTGCTAGGAAGGCTCATGAACGTGCCAGGCTTTGTGGAGTGAGGCTGGGCTGATGTTCAGCTTTCAGCACTGCCTAGACTTGGGCTGTTAGTGACCAGACATAGAGAGATGGCTTCTAATGGCAGCCAGCTGAAATAAAGGGCCACCTGCCCCTTTCTGAATTGCCATTTTCTGTTCAATAGTTGAAGTAATGACCTGCTTGACTTGCAGCAAGGAGCTAAGCTTGGTGCCTGCGCTAGCCTCCTGCTAAAACCCGGTCTTCCTCCACCCTCTTGTTTAACCAGGAGACAGGACAAAGTTTTCATAAAAAGCATCTTCCTTTTTGAGCATTTCTGTCTCCTCTACAAAGCTGCCTCAAAGAGCAGCGAGGTTCAGAGTGAACGAAGCGTCTTGACAATAATATTCAATCTCACATTCATCCGGTGCATCAGCTGGAGACACATTCAGTTTTCACTTAAAACTTTTTTCAGGTTCCTCCTATATGTTTGCAACATCAGAAGACTCTGGCTCCTGCTCAGACCTTTGAAATCCCCCAGACTTTACCGAGATGTCCCTAAATTGGAAACCACTAGTGCATCGCACGCGTCTGTTCAGGGCTATGTGCTCATTCCCATCTGTCTCGATGTCTTTGCTCAGGATTTTGAGTGCTCTTCTCTCTCAAGACTGCCGTCAGCAGCTGTGGCTGTGCCTGCTCCTTCCTTCGTTCTCGATATAGAAACCATGGAAAAGTTGTGCCGAAGCACAGACCAGCTCCCACAATCGGGGAGATGCCAAACTACCGCAGAAAATGCAAAATAAAGAGAAAAATAGTCAACGGGAGACATCCCACGATAGCTAAGCGTGTTCAGCACTCAAAATCATGCTTTTTTTTTTTTTTTTTTACAATAAGAAAAAAAGATTTAAA